CTATTTTTGTATGACATCAAATCTCAATCTACCTTGTCTTGCAGAAATACTTTTTGATACTAAATAGTTTGGGTAGAGGCTGGCAGAAGGATGCAGACTCTTTCATACAACTAACTTCAAATCAGATTTATTAAAAATCAATTACTTTGTAAACTTAAAATTCCAACTAACTGAAATTCTAAAATGAGATGCCACTCAAATTCTTGAAAATGAAACAATTCATATATTTACTGCATATTACTTAAGCTTACTTAATGCATTTGCCCTATATAAAATCAAAAGGTTATACAAAGAAACGTGCATATTTGTACACAATTTCACATGGAAATATAAACATGGACAAAATATAAAAGGACTGTATCTATCTCACCTCGCTATCTATTTCGCACTGAACCACTTTCTCCACTGCTGGGTGTTTGGCCACCTCGCGTGCAACACCCCCGTCACCACCTCCGACAATCAGTACCTATAAGGAAGAGAATTCTGAACATCAAACTTTTGCCATGAAAATCATTATGATGTACTATCTTTTCTCCTCTTAATGCCACACTTGATGCTGTCAAGTGCAATAAAAAAGAAACAAGAGGTGGAAATCATCCGTCCTTTTACCTTTTTCGGAGAAGGATGAGAATTTAGTGCTAAGAATGTGATCATCTCCTGGTACGAGCACTCATCGCGCTCTGTAAACTGGATGGCACCGTCTAACACCATCACCTTTCCAAAGTTGGCGCTGGAAGACATTTTAAAGTTTTATGTGTATTACATTTTCCTTGTCAGATCCAGTGACTACAATGATTGATACATCTAAATACTCTTCAGAACTGGTTGCAATCATGTAAAAGCTAAAAAAAATGTACGTAACATGACACTTAAATAAACATTAGACAATGAAAAGAATGAATTTTTAATTCATATGATCTACTGTGAATATATTCTCTCTGATATATCACCTAAAATCATTTCCAAATATTTTGCCATGAAATAAGATCACAAACTTTTCTACATGAAATATAAATTGATCACTGGTCTCACCTCTCAAACAGCTGAATGTGCTGGAACTTGCTCTGCTTCTCATGAAGAATCTTTTCAACCTTCAGAGAAAAGGCTTGTCCCGGCCACATGGGAGAGCGCTCCGTAAACCAGCCATTGAGATTTTGGTCCATCGCACCCGAGTCGTTTTCCTCTATTATAATATGCATGATAATTGATAATGGTGACTGTTATCCAGCTTACCCATTCCCCATTGTATTTTCTATCATGTGAATTTCTGGTCTGGAATGTTAAGCTCAAAATATGTTTTGAGAACAATAAAAGTCAAAGTATTATTCATAATTTTGGTTTTTCACTTTTTTTCTTGTCTAGCATTACAAGTCCATGAATTCTAAGCTTTCTATTCTCCTGAACTTTGAACAAAAGCCATGAACTATTAACAATGCATTAGCATCCAACATATTTTAAGTGTTATATAAACTACCAAATTCTTTTATATGCTAACTTTCACATCAGGATTCAATACATTTACATATAAGGAGGAATTATAATGTACTTTATACTACATCATTTAATATTCTTGAACTTATAAACTTCCTATTCATTTTCATGAGAAATATCTGTATATAATTATCAAATAATTCTTTGCTGGGTATCTGAATATTTTACACAAGTAATTTGCAAAATAACAGGTGAAAATTATGGTCCTAACTCCCTTTTTCATTCACACATATATGTAATCTTATGTTATTACTTTAAATTCCCTCCATTTTTAAGGTTTAATTTCTTGGATTTGAAATTTAAAGGATAACACCCATTTGACACTGGCTATTCTTGTATATAAAAAAAAAATACCTCTCAAAGAAGTACTCACAGCTTTGATATAAGAAATTTGGAACAGATTAAACAGCCCCTTGCTAAGCCTGTTCTAAAACCCATACAGCTGCGTGATAGTGAGACCTTAAACAGCTGCTTCCTTGAATCATGATTGGTGTGTATCTTATTAATCTTATCTTTCTGATAGGATAAAGATCTTAAACTACGGACTCTCTCAAACTTTTATAAACTTTCTCTCTTTCACATCAACATTTTAAAATATTTAATGTACAAGCCAGTCATTAAAATGCATAAATGAAAACTTTTAGAATATGGATGAAGAGAAGGAAAAGAAAAGATTTTGAATATAAATATTAATTTTTATTTACAAAAAAATATAAAAAAAATCATAAGCACTCTTTATTCTAATGCTATTTATAATAATTTTCTACATAAAAAATATATCAAAATCCACTTAATTCTACAAGTTACACCATATTAAAAGAAGAATCAATCTATAAAACATCTGCTAAATAATCCACTTTTTAATCCTCGTCACTATCAATGACAGCTCTAGCCTTCTGTCTGCCACTAGCCAGAGGAACATCGTCTTCAGAATCTGAATCCAGCATCCTTCGCTGACTTGCATTGACTCTCTTCTCGCTCCCTACATCCTCATCCACACTCATGCTTGCATCATCAAGCATGCCTGAGGACTCTGTGTCTAAGTGTAATCTCAAGTCATGGCTTTCTACCACAGGGCTGTCTTCATCTGAGTCATCTGCAATGATCAATCTGCGCTTCTTCTTGGAACTTTTATCTTCTTCCGTTTTGAGTTCAGCTCCACTGTCATTTCCTTCATCGCTCATTTGTCTCTTTTTTGATGCTCTTTTGGACGCTAAAGGAGAACGGGCTCGACTAATGGATGACAGGGGGGCATCATCATCACTCGAGTCATCTTCAACTACTCTTGACCTCTGAGGCACAAGGGGAACTGAATCGTCAACATCTTCTGTATTGACTGTGGGCACAAACTTATAATAATTTTCTTTATCTTCGGGATTGATGTTTTCTGAGTCAGAGAGGTCATTTTGCCGTTTCTTTGTCTTCTTAGGCTTGGGTTTTGATTTGGGCTGTGCTTTTGCCGATTTCTTCTTCTTTGGCTTCTCTTCTTGGGACGGCTGCGCCTCCACTGGTTCCAATGGTACGTCAGCACTTTCGGAATCCAAAGTCTCACCTGAGATTCCCTGCCTGAGGTACTGGGCCCTCTTTTTCAGTCCCTCTACAGTCAGTTTGGAAGGCACACGCCAGAACATCTCCTGGTTGGTCAGTGGAGGCTGTATGCCAATTAGTTTCAGTAATTCCATAAACTTTTCATCCTCCATGGCATCAGTGCAGGTTTCAGTCATGGCAAGAATGGGAACCGGCTCAAAATCACCATCTTCTTCACGATCCTCTGCCACATCTATAAGGACACCGGCAATCCACTCCACTGCTTCTTGCATGTTTGCCTCTAAAACTGTATTCAGCGATTTGGTAATTAGAGCAGGAGTCACAACTGGTACTGTGAAAGTGGGTGCCTTGCTTGCTGCTTTGCCTGCTTTCTTGGGAACTTCTGATCTACTCACTGAGCCACCTTCATCATCACTGCTACCTTCACTCTGCACATCATCACTGTCCCCATCGTTGCCCTCATCATCATCATCACCACCATAGCCAGACTTTCTGGATTTCCTTACTTGAGGTTTCTTTGGTCTTTTCTTACGCAGCTCCTTCTTGTCTTCCACTAAGCCCAGCTCTAATATCTTGTCTACAACCCTGTGTTTAGGCCTCTTAGTGATCATGTTATCCATGATTCTTCCAACGATATCCATTGCGTCCTTGTATTCCTCAAATAACATCTTAAGTTCTTCTTCCTCCACCTCAGACCACACTTTTGCTGGTTTGACTTTAACAGTTTTCCGAGTCAACTCCTTGACATCTCTGATAAGGTGCATGTCTTTGAGCTTCTTAATGACCATGCGGCGAGTACGTGTCTGGTTGATTAGGTTTTCCAGTATAAGATCTGCAACATCCTTATCTTCTGCACCCTCTGGTGGTGCACGGCTGAACTCCTCAAAGAGCCTCAGCAGTTCCTCCTCTTCCTCTTCTCTCCACGCTTGCTTCATGGCTTTCTTGCCACCATCCTGTTCCGAATAGCCACACTCAATCTCCAGAGCTTCTTTGTTTGTCTTGAAGAATAGCAACTCCACAAACACTTTGGGATTTGTTTCCGCCACTTTGAAGAACTGACGTATGATGTACTTTCCAAATTTGACGATCTCTCGTATGGAGTCATTTGTTTTCTGCCTCGGATCCTCCATGGCTTTTTGGAAGATGCAAAAGAGAGAAGCCTGGAAGAACATGGCTGGGAGTTTATGGTCCCAAGCAATTCTATGAAACATCCTCAAAATGCAATGGTTAGTGTGATTTGAATTGGAGCCATAGTTCCTAAAGAGACGACAATAAGCCTGCATGATTTTGGTGTTTGCAAACCGCCTCACAAAATTGGTTAAATCAAACTCCTGTTCACTGATCTGCATCATGCTTTCCTCCTCTTCCTCCTCCTCATCATCATCTTCCTCCTCATCGGGAATATCTGTGGGGGTATTCTCAACTGGGTTTAAATTAGCCATGAAGATCTCCCTCAATGCCAGGAACTCCTCTGACTGCTCCATTGCTTGTGAGCCAAACACATCTCCCTCTGGCCATACCTCACGGGCAGACCGCATCAACGACACAGCCTCTGCCAACTCTTTCTTCCGAAGGTAGCGGTTAATCTTCCTCATAGCAGCTTCCTTTTGCTCATCGTCCGTCTGTTCTGACAGAGCATCAAAGGGGACTGTGTCAGGCAAATCACCTGCTTCGCCCTGGACAATTGCCGACAGCTCTGCTGACATCTCATCCCAGAGGTCCTGCAGCTCATGCTCCGTTGGCTCACTTTCGGTCTTCGATTGAACCTTGGGCTTCTTCTTTTTTGCCTTCTTGACCTTCTTCTGAACAATGACGTGCTTTGATTTCCCACAGAATGACTCGAGCAACTTCATGAATATGTGCGTGGTTTCAACCAAATCCTTCAAGTATGTACTAGACAGTTTAACAGGATCATAATTTTGCAAAAGGTTCATGACCATTTCCCTGTATTCAACCACATAAAAAACTTTGCTCTTGAGGACCTTAGACGACTCCCTGACAGACGCATTGTCCGACTTGTCCATGTATGCTAACGTCATGAGTAGCTCCTGGTAGGCCTTCAGAGCTTTGTGCATCCGCCGGGACCAGAGGGGGATCTTCTTCTTGTCTGTGGTCATCATCTCGTAATAGGTGTCCAAATTGGTCTGGATGTAATGGAACGTTTGAACACTCAATGTCTCACTCACTAATTCAATCTTAAACTGATGATGCCTGTTGAATTCCATGAAGAACTTCATTGCCCACAGGTAATAGGACTCATCATGCTCCTGTGCTCGAGCGCGGTTTAAGTTATCCTTGACAATGTACATGATGCTGTTGTAAGCACCATTCAGAAATTCTATACAAAATTCTTGCAAGAAAAGCCTGATGGCAAGAGTGGACCTCCTTGTGGTATTGACATCACGCATAGCCATTCTGTTCTTAGCTACTTTTTTGGGCCGTTTAGCCTTGTCAAAGTTGAGTGAACGGATATCACTCACTGGCTGATGGGAGATGAGGTCCCTGTCGCTGATGCTCTTCATGTTCTGAACGTAATAGGTGCCCCCAAACCTGGAATGGCGGGCACTGTACTGCTTCTGTTTCTGCTGCTGCTTTTTGAGGGCCTCTCTCTGTCGGATTTCAATCAGCTCCTTCTCGTCTTTCTCCTTCTCAGACTGAGAGCGCTGGAGGCCTGCCTGAGCTAGCTGTGCTGGGTCTTGCTCCCTTAGCATTAGGGATATTATCTCTAAAGCATGCATGCACAAGTCCTGCTCATTTTCAGAGGATGCAATGTACAAGAGAAGGTCCTCAAAGCCAGCCAAATGCAAAGCCCACAATACTTGGTCATGCACAGAGGCATCGTCGTCTGTTCTCTTCTCATCCTCGGGGCTGGCTGGGACAGACAAAATATTCCTCACCAAAATAAGTATTCTTTCAATGATCAGCTTATCATCTTCCTGTCTGTTTTCCCAATCCAACTGAAGCAGCTCTCCTAGCTTCCCAACTAACACAGCCCAAACTTTTTCCTCCACAAAGGCTTCCTTGTACCCCTGTTGCTGCGAGACCAAGTGCAGGAACTGCTGCCGCGTGACTTTCTCCTCCGGGAGTTCCTCCCTGAACAGCAACAGGACTGGGTTAGTGAGATTCACCAGCAGGCGGAGTGTC